TTCGCCATTAGGGAAGTAGCCCTAGGGGCAAAGTTCGAACAAAAAATAAATTTTTGAGGTTCAGGGACAGTAATTTTGGGATAGTACCAAAGCTTCAACTGCAGCATCATTGTATCACAACAACAGAGAAGCGCGCGACACGCATTTCTCGGCCACACCCGAAAATAAATTTCAAAGACACAATCCAGTATGGGTGAGGTGGGTGTAACTATTTGGTGCGTGTGACAGAAGTATTCACGAAGGTGCCATATGTTCCATTCCTAGCCGCTATGGAAGGGCATGAGGGGCGATAGGGACTTGCAGAGATCGCATCGACTGCTTCCATGTTTTCTGTTGCGCAGAATGCTGATGTCTGGGATTTTTAACCTATTGTGCTTCCTCAACTGTCTTCACTCCTCCATGCTTACTCTCATTGCCTCAGCACAGAAATGAGCGAGCCTGTCATTCTTCTTGAAACAATTTTCTTTTATTCCCTTTCCCTTTATGTCCCTTTTATTCATGTCTTTACCCTCCTTTTTATTCATTTATTTTTATTTTATTTTCCTTTTTATTCCGTTCTTCGGATTAATTCAATAAATTTAACTTAATGATTTATTTCCCTCGTTCGGAATTTTCGATTGTTCTGATGTTCCATCAGGAACGCTAGGGAGGGGAGGCGTTTGGCGGTTTAAAGGACATATCTCAAACCTTGAGCCATGTTCAGGCCTTTGAGGAAGACGATCTCGTCGAAACGTCAGGCCACTAATAAAGTTACCACCTAACAACCTCGTTGGCAGAATAACAAATAACACTGTAATTACAACAGTGCCGGTTCTACGAAGAGAGATGTTAGAATCTGATTATCTTTTCCTTTTTTCTACACTGCTGGCCCACTAATTTTAAAGTGTAACCGCGATCGATGACTTATTCTTAAATGATAAAAGCCACCTGTATTAGGTGCGGATCATCGAATTTTGTAAAACGCAGTAGAAGTTTCCTAAATATGTCAATGCTGGCATTCGAATCAACATAGTCACCTACCCCTATGTCGGCTTGCCGCAGATTTCGATCATCCGCTACTACCACAATTTCTGGAGATGCATCTTTGGATGACTGAAAGAACCTACCCACAATGGGACAAAAATTGGAATGCACATGAACTGAAGAATATACATGCAAGATCTTAGGAATTTCGATGACTCAACCTCTGACCTTCTTATACTGCAGAATTTGTAGGTGTTTGATAAACTTGCTCACAAACTTTGAACCATCCTGATGCTCGAAATTCCATGAAATTATTGTATTCATGCCTGTCGACACTCGTATAGTGGTTTTGACACCGGAACCCTAAAAGCACATGATGGAGCTACATGCTCCACAAATGCCTACAAATTTCCCAACTGAAAAAGGCCTTCGATGTGAGTGACATGATATATGCAAACCGCGTTTTTATTATATGTACTCACTAGGAAAAGATGATTGTATGTACTATGTATGTATTACAGTACTCGCCGTTTGAAATCGAAAATTCACGCGAATAACGCGAATCCTCGTTAATTTCGTGAATTCGTTATAACTCGGTTCAAAATTGAGCTTTCGAGAATCCGAAGATATCTTTGAATTCAGCTCGTCGGACACTATAAGAATGTGCTTTGATACTTTGGAAAAGCTCCATATAGGATTGCGCCATGCACTCGATTTTCATCTCAAAAAGTAGTTGCTCGCATGTGATGTGTATATAATCCCGCTTATGCGGGCTGACCGCTACACACAGAGAAGGGCCTCAAAACTTACCCCAGAATGCGCCACGTACTCAATCTCATCCACTACATTGTGAGATTAGATGAATGTTATTTTCCGAATTCTTAGATCTTCATTTCGTTTTTAAGCGCTTACTGGCTTTACGTGTTCCCTCTGCTCTCAATATCCCATCCTCTGTATATCAAGTGGAATCTTTGAACAGTTCTCAGCAGGCATAGTGGGCCTATTATGTGACATTTTCCATTTTCAGAGGAGATGTTTTGCAGAAAGCTGTGAAGATAGCGAACAATTTCCTTCACTGTCGTAGACTACGGTCACTTGTCTGTAAGGATTATATGGAAACCTTGGTCGCAGGTGAGCGCATGCCCCTCGTCATGCCCTTGTGGAAAGTTCAGATTTTTTGCATTTCCAGATGAACTCGCAGACCTGAAATGTGCCCCGTTAGCTTCCCCGTGAAAAATGCTATCGAATGATATGCATTACTTCCCCCAGTTGAAACTTTGGTTTTTCACCGTTTTCAGCCTTCCCCTATTGCCGGATCCCACGATTACTGCCCCAAAATCTCAAAGTTTCATTTTTCGTCGAAACTTTGTCTATTGGGGTAATTCGATGCCCTGATTACGAATATGACATTCATTTTTGATGCTGGTGTCATTTGGCGCCATTTGGCGCCAATTTGGCGCCACGGCTGTTTTCACCAAATCTGCTGAAACTTTGCCATTTGGGGTGAGATTTGGGGCCAGACCGTGAGAAAGGTCGTCGAATCAGACTTTTGTACGACAGGAAGGAGCCAGACCGTGGAAAACTGTGAGCTAAGCCAGAAGCATATTTCACGTTTTCACTGGAGATGCCTGTATGCGTTGGGCAGAGCAGCAATTCGACTGTAAGCTCTCCAGCTGTCCACTGAGGATGGTAGTACCGTGCTCGATGTACTACTTCATGATGAGCCGCAGTAGAGTTGAAACGTCTTTCCTTCGGACCATCCGAAGGAGTCCACTTCCTCTTTCAATGCCTCCAAACAGCCACTTGTGCCTGCGTACCCAACGTCGGCGGTTGTATTTGCGTTTGATAACCAGTGTTTCGTCAATTTCCATCTCGCACCCGAACCTTCCGATGATCGGCGGGTTCCTCCTGAAGTGCCCCACACATTCGTCGCGGAAGAACCGCTCCCACTGAATTGAACTGGTGTGGCCGACGTTGAGCTCGTATTCCTTGTCCTTCACCTTGCCCATGTCGCGCAGCCAGAAATAGGGCAGTGCGAACACCGTGGACTCAGGAAAGTTACAGTTCTCGAAAAAGGAATCCTTTCGGGCATGAACGTAGACCCTGGTCTCGTTCGACGGTCCAGTGCGGCACGCTCGACGATTGCAAATCCAGCCGTTGTGCCGTTCGTCGTTGATCAGGCTCATGGATCGTTGACATGAATGGCATAGTGGCACAGACATCAACCCCATGGATCGCAACCAGTAAGTGCAGATTATTCAACTTGAGCGTCTCGTACACGTCCTTCAAGGCTAAGCCCAGTAGCTCTCATTGACGATTGTGTCGCTAAAGAGTAGCAAGAGCCATCGTTATTCTCCGTTGTCGAAAACGTGAAATATGCTTCTGGCTTAGCTCACAGTTTTCCACGGTCTGGCTCCTTCCTGTCGTAGGAAAGTCTGATTCGACGACCTTTCCCACGGTCTGGCTCCTTCCTGTCGTGGGAAAGTCTCCGATTCGATGACCTTTTCCACGGTCTGACAGTCGGCGCTCTGAGAAAGGTGCCTAAGAGTACGCTCTGACTGTGAAGTGTTGTTTGTGACACCACATGGCGCCGGCGTCAAGACTGGATGTTATATTCGTGATCAGGACCCCAAATAACCCCTATACACACGTTTTCAGCGGATTTGGTGGAAACAGCCGTGCGCGCGCCAAACGGCGCCAAATGGCGCCAGCGCTAAAAACGGGTGTCGTTTTCGTAATCAGGACCCCAAATAACCCCAAATGACGAAGTTTCAGCAGATTTGGTGAAAACAGCCGTGGCGCCAAATTGGCGCCAAACGGCGCCAAATGGCGCCAAATGACACCAGCATCAAAAATGAATGTCATATTCGTAATCAGGGCATCGAATTACCCCAATAGACAAAGTTTCGACGAAAAATGAAACTTTGAGATTTTGGGGCAGTAATCGTGGGAATCCGGCAATAGGGGAAGGCTGAAAACGGTGAAAAACCAAAGTTTCAACTGGGGAAGTAATGCATATCATTCGATAGCATTTTTCACGGGGAAGCTAACGGGGCACATTTCAGGTCTGCGAGTTCATCTGGAAATGCAAAAAATCTGAACTTCCACAAGGGCATGACGAGGAGGCATGTTTGGGGCCACACCACGGAAGGAACGCTCACTTGCGACCGAGTTTTCCACATAATTCCTACAGACAAGTGACCATAGTCTACGACAGTGAAGGAAATTCTTCGCTTCCTTCACAGCTTTCTACAAAACATTCCTCTAAAATGGGACTTGTCACGTAATAGGGGCAAAGGCATGACAAGGGGTGATGTTTGGGGTCACACCACGGAAGAAACGCTCACCTGCGACCAAGGTTTCCATATAATCCTTACAGACAAGTGACCGTAGTCTACGACAGTGAAGGAAATTGTTCGCTATCTTCACAGCTTTCTGCAAAACATCTCCTCTGAAAATGGAAAATGTCACATAATAGGCCCACTATGCCTGCTGAGAACTGTTCAAAGATTCCACTTGATATACAGAGGATGGGATATTGAGAGCAGAGGGAACACGTAAAGCCAGTAAGCGCTTAAAACGAAATGAAGATCTAAGAAAGAATTCGGAAAATAACATTCATCTAATCTCACAATGTAGTGGATGAGATTGAGTACGTGGCGCATTCTGGGGTAAGTTTTGAGGCCCTTCTTTGTGTGTAGCGGTTAGCCCGCATAAGCGGGATTATATACACATCACATGCGAGCAACTACTTTTTGAGATGAAAATCGAGTGCATGGCGCAATCCTATATGGAGCTTTTCCAAAGTATCAAAGCACATTCTTATAGTGTCCGACGAGCTGAATTCAAAGATATCTTCGGATTCTCGAAAGCTCAATTTTGAACCGAGTTATAACGAATTCACGAAATTAACGAGGATTCGCGTTATTCGCGTGAATTTTCGATTTCAAACGGCGAGTACTGTATGAATGTATGTATGTGCCCCACCCAACCTAAGGACTACCGTCAACATGAGTCCCCATGTCCCTGTTTCCCAGACATCAGCTACGTCAAACATGTCATTCGTCGACGCATCCATACTCAGCAAATTGGATCTTCCAGTATTTGAAGGGAGTCTACTCGAATTTCTCAAGTACTGGGCTCGCTTCTCCACCTTGGTCGGTGACAAACCACAACTAGACGACGCGACAAAATTTTCACTTCTCAAATTCACTCTACGGGTCGAGCTCTACAAACAGTCAAAGGACTGGCAGTAACAGCTACTAACTATCTTGCAGTCAAAATTCTGAATAATCATTTCGAGGATCGAGTAACATCACGCCATATTCTCCACACTCGCCTTGCTTCTCTTCCATCATGCGACAAATAAGGCAGAAACCTTCTCGCTCTGTACTCGCAAATGTTTGCAGTGGTTTGTCAATTCACGACATTCGAAGATGACTTAAAGGAGTACGCACTTGGAGCAATTATCCCTACTATATATAATGCGCTAAGTCTGTCTGTCTGTCTGTCTGTCTGTCTGTCTGTCTGTCACGAAATTCCGTATTAAGCGGACAACAACCTACTGGGTCCAGGTCAAGTTTGGGATGGGTGTACCATATCTCGAGAAGTAAAAAACATACATTACCTAAGCGGAGCCCCGCCCACAGTGGGCGTGGCGTGCATCGAAATGAGTTACTGAGGACCATGATTTCAAATTCAGTCACAAAACAGCCTCGAGACCGGGACAAAAGTGGGTATAGGTGTGCATTGGTAAGCCAGATCGAATGAGGAGACCCACCCTCGGTGGGCGGGGCGTTCTCTAAAAAAGCGGTGCTCATGAAAAATTCATAACTCGGTTGGGAGAAGCCTACAGAGCAGAAAACAAATTAGTGTAGGGGAGCAATGTCTAAGGTATTTCCAGCACGCATGATGTGAACGGAGGCCCGCCCACAATGGGCGGAGCGTGTCGTGAAGCGGACAGCGTTTTCTACAAGAGCTCATAAATCGGCTCCGAGATGACTTAGAGACCGGAAAACAGCGGATAGAGGTCAGGAGGGGAGGGGAAGCTAAATGTCAGGGATGGGCGTGGCTTACATCAAAGTGGGCGGAGTTTGCAATTAGGCTTATAACTCGGTTCCTAGGAGTCCCGGAGTCCGGGAAAAAAGCGTATAAGGGTTGGCAGAGGGAAAGGGGTCAACCGCTGTTGGCGGGCGGAGCATGCACCAAAGTGGGCGGGGTTTGCCACGGTACTTCATAACTCGGTTCCAATAAGTTCCGGAGATGGGAAAAAAGTAGAAAAAGGTTGGGGAAGAGATGATAGTCAACTGATATCAGTGGGCGACCCATGCACCAAAGTGGGCGGGGTTTGCCACAAAGATACGTAGCTCGATTTCGTCCCCTACAAGACCTCATAATTCGGCTCCGAGATGACTTAGAGACCTGAAAAAATGTGTAGAGGTGAGAGGAGGAGTAGAGGTTGAATGTGAACGCTGGGCGTGGCACACCCGAAGTGGGCGGAGTTTGCCACCACTCTCATAACTCGGTTCCTAGAAGCCCCAGCGACCGGGAAAAATGTGGATAAGGGTTGCCGGAGGGAAAGGGGTTAAATGCTATTGGTGGGCTAAGCATGCACCAAAGTGGGCGGGGTTTGCCTCAGAAATTCATGACTCATAACGTCTTCTACAAGACCTCATAATTCGGCTCCGAGATGACTTAGAGACCTGAAAAAATATGTAGAGGTGAGAGGAGGAGTAGAGGTTGAATGTGAACGCTGGGCGTGGCACACCCCGAAGTGGGCGGAGTTTGCCACCACTCTCATAACTCGGTTCCTAGAAGCCCCAGCGCCCGGGAAAAAGTGGATAAGGGTTGCCGGAGGGAAAGGGGTTAAATGCTATTGGTGGGCTAAGCTTGCACAAAAGTGGGCGGAGTTATGCACGAAACATTATTACTCGGTTCCAAGAAGTCTTGGACACCAGGAAAAAAGTATAGAGGTCAGCGAAGGAAATGAAGTCTCAGTGGGCAGGACATGCGCAAAAGTGGGCGGGGTTACCCATGAATTTCGAAAGAGGAGTGTCTCCAAAGCAGCCGTACCTTGGAATCTCACTCAGCAGCTCTGCAGTAATAGAGAGAGAACATTGGTCACAGACATAATTTTTCAGCCTTACCACCTTCCAAAAAAAAACCCTGTCTTGGAAGAAAGACCCTCTCCGAGAACCGCCTCATAGTTATAATGGACCAAATAAGCTACCACGCCATATCCGAAGCCGTGTCTACGATCATACTAGAAACAGCGAAAACCTTGTCGCAACACAACTTCTTCACATCCTCACAAAGATCGTCAGAAAAGAAGCAGTGCTTGAGGAAATGGCAGATCACTCTAACTTCTCCTGTGATTTCCTCATAAATGCTGCCTATCAGAGCAAAGGACCACCACTAAGAAGAAATGATCATCAATTTTCTATACGAAAAAGCCAGTTGCAGAAGGTCTGCCAATTCTGCTGAAGGGTTGGACATAACTCTTCTACATGCTCGACGTATAAGACTCCGAAAGAACGCGTCAAAGTCATCGATACAAAGCAACTTTGCTACAACTGCCTATCTCCACGACATACTACAAAGCAAAGTTCGCCTAAGATATCCCGTATTCATTGCAACTTCGTCACCACACTTCATGCGCTATGCTTCACTCAAAATCCAACGGGACAAGCTATTTAACGACCTTACCGGACAACTCGAATTCGTCCTCCACCACTCATCGCTAGGCGGCCTCAACAGTCTTTTCATAGTTTGAACATGACTATCGACAACTCCAACCAGGATAATATCTCTGCTCCTATTGAAGACAAACAGCAGTAGCGCCTCTTTGAACCAAGCTATAATAAGCACCAACATCAAGAGGCTGTGGAAACTTTACGAATACGCTGCAGATATCATTAGCTCAAACGTAACTTCGAAGACATGTCTTATGATGTGTGTGCCCGTAACACTCTTCAATCCAGATCAACCGTTGCGGAGGATGGACACTACTGCATTCTTTGACAGCCGCGCTTTCACAGCAATAATCAAGAAGGGTATTGTCCAATATCTACAACTGAACATGGACGAGGAACAGCTGATTTCTTCTTAGACATTTGCCAGATGTGAATCTCAATCACATCTATCATCAAAAGTCGAGGTTGGACTACTCTTGGAAAACTATGAACAATTCGTCTTAAACGTAAGAACACTCTCATTCCTTATGGAACCGATGCAGAAGGAGCTGCTCAATCAACGTGTACGAGACGACATAATAACGAGGAGCGCTCAGTTAGGTCTGCTGATCGAAAGCGACTATTTTTGGGAACTCGTGTTGTCAGAAAACTTCTACATCAAACCACTACCCAACGGCGACAATCTCATCCACACGAGACTTGAAAAGATTATAACTGGCAAGCCTCTCCAAAGTCATCGATCATTCATGGCGATAAGCAATGCTGACGTCCTCGAAAATCCGCTGCAACATCAAAAATTTCCATGAACTCTGAGTAAATTATCTGACAGTAGCCTCAACTTCGAAGATATTACCAACTTTTTCTCAGCTGTCACAACTTCCGAACATCTTAAAATTCCTTTCGAATTTTGAAATACTTTATGTCTGTAATTTTCCTGGTTCTTTGGTTCCTGGCATTCTATAGAAAACACGAACAATTCTATACACTCAACCTTATCCAATAGAATTGTAAAACCGAAAATTAAGTAACGCTTCTTATCACAACTTCATTCATTACGTTCATTTTTCGGGCGGAAGTGTATTAGATTGTGGAAATTCCTAGATTAATTTTTTCGTGAACCGCTTTTCAATGAGAAGCAAAGTGTCATTCATGTTTAGTCTACGTTATCACAAACTCCTTTCTTACATGCATGCAATTGCATTCCTCTGAAGTTCTGTCTCCGTATAAATACCACCCTGTAAAGTGAATAAACGATTCTGAGCTCAGAGACACAAGCTTACTAACGGTCAGGAGTTGTAAACAAAAAAGATAAAATAAAAAACAAAAATTTGAAGCAGTGTCGCAGGACTTTCTTCCCAGCCTAATAAGTACGTACGGGTGGCCGAAAAGGACGCCAAATCGCGCGCTTGCTAGCTTCTTGCCACGAAGTAGTTTCGCAAATTTTCGATATGCATCGAAAGTACGTAAGCTATATAAGTAGTGTTGCAAACCATTTGGTGCATTGATCATTCAAAGCTTCGTTATGAAGATTTCACCACATCGACCCATTATCGAGAAGTTGCTCAAGGATGGGCTCCGCAGCTGCGACATCGCTAAGCGGCTCGGGATTTCCTCTTCCACTGTTCGAAATATCTCCGCTGCTTTCAAGGTACGAGGAAACACCTCTGCGATGCCAAAAAGTGGACGACCGAGAACTGTGAACACTCGGAGGATTCGTGCGATCATTAAGAAGAGGATCACTCGCAGTGATGGAGTCAGCATGAATCGTATTGCTTCCGACCTCAGAATCAGCCGTGATTCCGTCCAGAGAATTGTGAAGAAAGAGCTGAAGCTTAACAGTTACCGTCTCTTCCGAGGCCAGTTTCTTTCGGAGCAAGCCAAGCAAAATCGACTGGCAAAATGCAAAAAACTTCTGAGCGCGCTTCAGGTGCGCCGCATTTCCGACGTGATCTGGACTGATGAGAAGATTTTCACCGTCGTCCCTTTTCCCAACCGTCAAAACCAGCGGCAGTTGCTATCGAAAGCTGACAGCAGGTCTACGAAACGCCGCCTGGCTCACAAAACCCTTTCTCCCAAAAGTGTGATGGTTTGGGCCGGAGTGACTTCAGAGGGAAAGACGCCTTTGGTCTTCATTGACAGAAACGTTAAAATCAACTCGGAAGTCTACCAGAAGGTGGTGTTGATGGACAATCTGTTGCCCTGGGTCACCAAGCACTTCGCCCAACGACCTTTCATCCTTCAGCAAGATTGGGCTCCTTCTCATGCCTCCAAATCCACCAGAGCCCTCCTGGATGAGCACTTTCCCGGTTACTGGAGCAAAGAAATGTGGCCTTCTTCCTCGCCGGATCTCAATCCGATGGACTTCGCCGTATGGGGATACTTGGAAAGCAAAATCCAAGGACGCTCCTACAGCTCGGTGGACGCTCTGAAATTGGCGCTTCAGAAGGCGTGGGACGAAGTCGACGTCGATTACCTACGGCGCACAGTCGATTCAGTCGTCGATCGTCTTAAGGCATGTGTAAAAGCAAGAGGGTCAAATTTCGAGCATCTCCTTTCCTGAGTAA